TATTAATAACATGTGGTGTGACAATTGGCATCTTCCCACATCTTTTATGGGCTCTTTTATTATTAAATTTATTTAAAAGTAGACCAAACGGATTGATGAAAACATATTATATTGTGTCATAAACATATCTTGAGCCTTGTGGAATAGTTATATTCAACAGCACCACTTACTCCACAGATATATTATGGTGAAATTATTAAAAGTTTATCTAGGTAAAATTCATTCTTGATAGACATCAGTGAACCAACTTGTATACTGATCATACGCCAATATACCTTTTAATTCGGACATCTTCAAACTCATTGTCTTAACATTACTTTAAAGGTAGTAAAGGGAAAAGTAAACTAGGACTACGGATACCAGCACATTAATTGGAATTATCAATCTGCCTTATATAAGCCATGTTATTCTTGTCAGTAAATTAAATCCGCATTATATACAGAATAAATCCATAAGAGTTGTGGTGTTTGAGTGAACTAATTATACCTTTGTACTTGTTGAATGCTCGATTTCGAATTCTAAATACAGTACATTCGTTTGTAGTTATCTAGTAGTTCTTGATCCGATTACGTTATTTTTGGGATTCCTAGTTCATACTATAATTCAAATACTCCTGATAATTACATTGGTATCGAGATGGAACCTGTGATGGAATTGTTGGATATACATTCAGATTTCGATGCTTTTAAGGATTACTTTGAAAGGTTAGAAATTTGGGCTATGATCACGGAAGACGATGAGGATGTTAATATTGTAGCACATTTCCTCACATTTATTGGAAAAGAAGCATACAGATTATTAAAAACTCTGGCTTTACCGGAAAAGCCCATTTCGGTTCCTTAAACAACTCTCGAGGAACTACTGCTAGACTATGTTAAATATACAAATTTCGAATATGGTAAAGGAAGATTTAGTAAAATGATTCATTCCACTACATTACTACGTCATCCCAACCCAGTGCATACTCAAGGTTATGCAGATAATTCATTGACGAGTTGCGATTCAGTTAATGAAGATGAGCACAAGTTTGGCCAATCCTTGTCCTGTGGCAAGTTCCACTCTTTTAATTCATGTAAATTTCGTAATTCTGAGTGCTTTAAATGTGATGATATTGGACATATTCTGTCAGTTTGTATTACTACTGTTCATCTTGCTGCAACTTATGTCAAGTCTTGTGATTCTGATTCTACTAAGTCGATTATTTATAATGATGATTTATCTTTAACAACGATTTCAAAAGACAGTGTATAGTCGTATAGCAGTTCAGAGTTAAGTGAAACTCACAATCTTTGCGACATAACAGTTTCTAATCAATCGACTAATCAGATTTCTCATGTTATTGTACCATATATGGTTTTTCCTAATGATTCACATATTTCTGATGAAATTCCTTGCAAATCTGAAGAAAATATGCTGAGTGAACATAATTGTGATCGAAAACCTGATGTAGTTTTGATAGATGCTGATTTTTCTAATGATCCTTTACTCTGCAATGACAATCTTAATAAATTCGAGGAAACTATTTCAGAGGAATCAAATCTTGATGTCATATCAAATATTATTTGTCTTCATAATGCATTTGTTTCTTGTGGGAAACTTGTTCAATGCGAAGCACAAGTACTAAATTAAGCTCGATTTTGATTATAATTTGGATGATTTCATATCAACTGCTGTTTATCCTTATCACAAAAACACTTCTAATATATACTCTAACCAGTGTGAGAAATATGATTTAAATGAAGTCACATTATTCATAAATTGGGGATACAAAGATACAACATTATTTCGTGGGGGTGGATAGTCTAAAAGTGTGTGGTTCAAATTCTAGGTAGCAGCGGTTTCAGTACACAACCGACATGCTGATTACACAATCCATGAAAGCAGTTGAGTCTGTTTCGATTTCGGTTGTTAATTCTAATACTAATGAGTGCATTCTAGATAATAGTTTTTATCCAATACACTGTCGGACAGACACAGGATGAACTTGAGAAGAAGACGTACAATCGATTACAGACACATACTCCTATTTAAGCTTTGGCGGATGTGGTGTTTGAATGAACTAATGATTTCTTTGTACTTGTTGAATGCTTGATTTCGAATTCTAAATACAGTACATTTGTTTGTGCTTATCTAGTACTTCTTGATCCGATTACGTTATTTTTGGGATTCCTAGTTCATACTATAATTCAAACACCTATAAATATTACAAGAGTACGACTAATTTACAAAATTACTGAACATGCGGAAGCCGTAAATAACAGAAAGTGAAAACTTTTCATCTTACAAATATTTGGTTTCTTGATGCTGCCTTTATTTGGAGTAACTGTTACATCTAAAAATTAACGTAAACTAGAATAGGAGTAAACTATCAATGGAGTAGTTCTTTAAAATATCTGTCTCCTTTATGCGCGTGATATGAAACGATGTTTTTGACCACGTCACCTTTTTTCAATGTATGTAACAATCAAGTTTGGTGCTACAAAGCTACGACAGCTGACACATTAACAAGACCAATAAGGCCTAAATTATTCACTTTTCGTTACTGAATTCGAAACGGTATCTCATGTTAGTGGAACTGAATCCATTTTTCTCGTGAATTACTATTCATTCTAAACGTTCTCGTTTCAAATATGACTTTAAACTTTAAATATGTTTCTGGGTTCGAATCTGGTGGGGCGGGTTCGTGAATGTGCACTATGGAGGAGCCCTACAATAGAATAAAACGGCTGTCCAGTGTTCCCATGTTTCCTATGGTGGTCTAGCTTCAATTGACTTATGATCTCAACTATTAAAATTACTTCAAATATTATCAAGTTATTGTCTATTGAATTAGTTAGCATGTAATACCAAAACTAGATAAGGAGATTACTTAGTTGTTATCTTGATAAATAGAATATATTAAAAATAGAAATAAATCGTTTGTTATACATTCGAGCGAAGAATAATTGACAGGTAACTGCTTTCATTTGACCTATTGGGTACTGGTATACGATTTACCATTCTTAACCTATTCCCAATTTATTAGTTACGGTATCCCACACTCACAACTACTTTTGGCTTGTATAATCATTATTTTTCATTTTATTGTGTAATGTGGTTAGATCTGGTTATGTATAAACAATGTATGTTTGAAATATACAAACCACACAGTCGATGGGACCAATAAGGACACTAGGCAGCTCATACCGGTCAACTGTCATTGATTTGGCGAAATGCTAATATTGAATAAGTCGTATTTTGATTGGTGGATAAATCACGTGACGACTAGCTGGCCTAAAGGTCACAACAAATCGGCGAAGGGTATTTTGCGAAAAACACAACAGTTAGCATCACTAAAACACATGACAGACTCTAGCTAAAATGTTGATCGCCCAAATATCATCCTCCTCTCTATGTATATATGAACTCAAACGCTATTATTAGTCCTTGCTGCGCCCTTATGCAATTTGAATATAGATTTGCCTATGAATATGCTCGTATTTACTTATTCACCTCTCTGCTTCAAATTCACCTCACGTGCTTATTGGCTTTGTGATCTGCGATATCCGAAGATAAACTGTAGTTGCCTCTTCTCATTTCCTTCTGATTTTAAACATCTTTGAGATTTATATCATAACGGTTATTGAGGTGATTGATTAACGAAGCAAAACCACTACAATGCATATAAAGTAGTAATGTATTTTGCTTAATAAAACAACGGATACCATCCTGTAATCCACTGAATGTAAGCTTAACAGACGAAACAATGAATCTTTCTTACAAACAATCTGAATGCAATTACCACTCAATGCCAAATTTATCTGGTCATATTCTTTGAAAAAATGCTAGATTCATGAGTTAGCGAGACGACGTAAACCCTGAAACCTCTGATTTTATATCTAACTCCTAGTTATAATGGCTCAAACCTTTCACATTGTAAGTAAGGCACAGATGAGCAAAGCAAGAGCTGCATATCTACAATTGAAGAACATCTGGAACTCAAAACAGCTATCAACCAACATCAATGTCAGGATCTTCAATTCAAATGTCAAGACAGTTCTACTGTATGGGGTAGAAACGTGGACAACTACGAAAGCCATCGTCCAAAAAATACAAGTGCTTATTAATAACTGCCTACGGAAAATACTTCGGATCCGTTGACCAGACATTATCAGCAACAACCTACTGTGGGAAAGAACAAACCAGATTCCATAGGAGTAGGAAATCAGGAAGAAGCGCTGGAAGTGAATAGGACACACATTAAGGAAAGCATTCAACTGCGTTACAAGGTAAGGCCTCACTTGAGATCGTCAAGGCCAAAAGACAAGAGGAATACCAAATAACACATTACTCCGACAAATGGAGACAGACATGGGAAGAACGAACAATAATTGAATAGAATTGGAAAGAAAGGTCCAGGATAGAATGGGTTGAAGAATGCTGGTTGGCGGTCTACGCTCCACTGGAAGTAACAGGCGTAAGTAAGTTAGGCTATTTTGTTGTTTACATATGAATACAGTTTTTTTTCAAAAATTCAAACTGAAGTAAATTCGGAAGGTGATATTTAGTTATTATTCAACGACTAATCTTTCTGTTTAACCTCACCAACCAATAGATCATTTATCGATAACATAATTCTAAGAGTCTCTGACAACTGAACTGTGTGAATTTTTCGCTTCACCTCTCCATAAAACTAAAACTGAACTAATCGTCTTCACTTATGTCTAAACGCTTGCAATGGATTATCGGTTGTGTATTCAGATGATTACAGTTTGAACAAATATATAGAGAGAATGGGGGATTTTCGAGTTACTAGGGTTAAAACAGATTAGTTGATTAATTCATCAAAAATGTGAGTGAGACTGAAAGCCTTGGGTTTGAATTCCATGTGAAGGATCATAGATTAGCACTACTGAGGAGTCTTATACTAGGACGAAACGGTCGTTCAGTGCTTCGAGGTTTTCTATGGTAGTTTAGCTTTAATCGACTCATGAATAGTCGATGAACTAAAACAAACTATGTATCATTCAATTCATTACACATATTATAGTACTTAATTCAATTTAGTAGTATTACATTATATAACAAAATAGAAAGTTATAACTAAACGATGTTTTAGATGATGATAATAATAAATAAGTAGAATCAACATGATTAAGAAGAATTGGAAATGATTATTTTTCCCGAAATATTATAATATTCTGATTTTGTAAATAAGTAATATACTCCGAATATTGTTGATTATGTAATGAAGTTAAATTACCTATTATAGGTAATGGACCTATATTGATTTCATTAAAATATAATGAATAAAATAGATAAGCAAAAATAGTTAAGCATATAATAGCGATTAGACCAATTTGTAATCCTAATTTTGCTGAAGGATCTTGATGAAGACTAGATATTTTATTAAGTCTAACTTGATTGGTTTCTTGTTGTCTGTCAGTTAGTTTAGAAAATCTTGAACAAGGAGTATTTTCTAAACCACATAACCATAAACAAATAGATTTGAATAGATTTCTTGAATTTGGTTTATTGATATCAGTCTCTAGAATAGATAGTAATTGCAAAACATTAATAAAATGTAAATGGCATAGTTATGAATCAATAGCAATATATATATATATATATATATATATATATATATATATATATTGAATAAAGGAAACATCATTTGTCGTCAAGCCCGTCCCTTGTAGAATTGTATTGGTGCACGAGCTAATAGATACTTATAGAAGAAGAAGACGAAGAAGGAGAAGGAGAAGACGACGAAGAAGAAGAAGAGGAGGAGGAAGAGGAAGAAGAAGAAGAAGAAGAAGAAGAAGAAGAAGAAGAAGAAGAAGAAGAAACTTTACAAACTACTAGCTTAGGTGGCTGGAAGCGATCAATAGGAAACCCTAAAACTCCTGTAAGGCTGACATACTAATGTTAATTGCAATGTTATGTTTATTTAATTCTTAATGTTAATTGTATTCTGTTAGGCAAGTTTCAACGTGGACACTAGTATAAGTGATTCAATATCATGTGCAATATGTTTTGGTATTAGGTGTTTGGAAGCAATCAGGAAGAATATCTGGATCCACTTTCTGTGCTAGTTGCTACCAGTTGGTTTGGTGTACCTGTAATCTTGAGAGAACTGACGTCTGTCTCTACGAGATTCAAACTCGTTTCTCAACCCATAAACAGCATAGTAGTAACGCCTCAGGGGGACGCCGAAGTGTGATGAGAATAACGAGTTCCCATGGATAACCAGCATTTCCAGAGACGCGTAAAATGAAAAACATTCTGACTAACTCATTCATTCACATCACATACACCTTAATAAAAGCTAGGAAAAAATAAAGAGCTCTTTTTATAAAAGCCTACAATGAATGTTGAGGGTACTAAAAGTCAGCTTCCAAACGCACACCCGAACAATATCCTGCCTAGTTATCGAGATGAAAATGTAAAACCAAAATTTCTCTCATCTAACGTTAAATAATAACTATCTACATAGCCTTAGATCTTTGTGTGCCTTTTACAATCTGCGGGTAAACATGAAGTTTCTTAAATAAGATGGGTACTAGTTCACGGGACAGTTAAGGCGATTAGAAACGGAACTATGAATCATCTGTGTTTAGTTTCTAACTGGTGAGTTGTGGGGTTAACACTTGACAAAAAGACTAAGTATAGTGTAGTCAGATAGCTTCGGCAGCTGACAAAAGAGATACTGCACACGGCTTATATGGGGTTTCTAAAAAAACATACATTTCTGAAGTGATTAGGGCAACTTCAAACATGGATAATTATAGTCTAGTAGTGGTTGGAATATAAAGATGAAATCACTTCAAAGTGGTTACATACTTTTGATCGATGGAGTCAATGGTCATGACATGAACAAAGGACCGCAGGTTGCGTTAGCAGGATATAGATTGGATTTAAGCATGTTCCGTGCAAGATTATATAGTGGCACGTTGATTGACTATTGCTTATCCAATCAATGCTAGTGGACAATTGCGGAAGACTCTAGAATCTTCTCATATAAAATATATAAATAACGCTATTCTTATTGTAATTCCTATTTACATTCCCCTTGGCTATTTGGAATAATTCAGTTCCTGTTTAATATTGTTCTAATTTGGAGACTTATCGAGTGAATTGACGTCCAAGAATACTAATCAATAGATGTAGCTGGGTTGTAATAAGAGACATTTATATAACACCATGTATTAACTTTATTCAGCAATAAAATATATTGATGTCATTTGTCGGTGAATAAATTATCAATTTCAGTTTATGGGTCTATTTCTTTCCAACAATGTTGATGATGATGATGTTTTTGTCTTGTTGCACCACCTTGTCACCATCAACACAACTGAGTCAAAGAATTTATTTTCAAACTGATATATTGTTATTCATGATAGTAATCTCTATTCGTCAGGTTATCAATTTAAAGATGCTGTTAATGATTATCATTAAAAGGAAATAGGTTAAACAGTTTAGTTAAAACAATGTTAATTAAAGAAATATTAAATTGTTGGTCTGTGTGTGTCAACTTAAATTTATCCAGTTCCTGTTTTGGAACATAATATCACAAGTGAATTCATTTATTTAACACATAAACATTGGTAAAAGGAGCCACAAAATAGATACACGCCACACGTCATTATCCGATTTGTGTGAAGTCTGTAATACTGCTGTGTGCCCAAACAGAAGTGGGTGGTTTTCTTAAAGGAGCTACACCCGAAGCTTTTGATCTATTGGTCTGATCCACAAGGCAGTGAAGCAACGTTGCGAGATGCAGTCCCGTAGTAGCCGGTCCCCAACAATATGATCATACGCCGTTTGTTCCTTCAAGATCCTGGGGCTTATGTGCACCATCGGTTTGGGTCACGGTTTTCTAACTCCCCTAAGTGGATCCTCCGTAACCATCAACCCGGTTAAAGTGCCGGACATTTGCTTTCCATCCTCTCAGTTTCGTAAAAAACACCCCCACCACGAGGAATTCCCTGGCAGTGGTTGTATGCACGTAGCCATGTGAGAGTATTTTGAGGAAAATGGCTGACTCTCCCCACTCTCGGCCATACCAGGGAATTTCAAAACAATTGATTAAATCTTTGTTAGCATCCTTCTAGAAATACAAATGTACAAACGCAGCACAAACTATGATCAAATAAAGCAGGTAGTAATGAATGAACAATCGTTAAGAAATTAGACATGGAATAATCAATATTCTGAATATCAACTGAATAGTACCAAACTCTTTTGATCTTAATGTTTCATAATTAAATGAAAAAAGAATCTACACGAAAACGTAAGAACATCATTGATACTACTAACGCCATTTAGAATATGAGACGATGAATTCTTACCAGCTTCTATCCAGTTAACATCAGCAAGCTTGTATCATCCATTATCCAGCTGAACGGATATAATAATACTTGTGTAATGACTACAACAGAACAACACTATGGAAGCTTCTTCGACACTACGGCGTGCCTCAGAAGATAGTCATTATCATACAGAATTCATATGATGGATTAAACTGCAAAATCGTGCATGGAGGACAGTTGAAAAAGTCGTTCGAAGTAAAGACCGGCGTCAGGCAAGGTTGCTTACTCTCACCCTTTCTCTTTCTCCTGGATCATGAAGACATCAACATCTGAAGGGAATCACGGGATACCGTGGACATCTAGGATGCAGTTAGACGATCTAGACTTCGCAGATGATCTGGCCCTTCTATCTCAAACGCAAAGACAAATGCAGGAGAAAACGACCAGTGTAGCAGCAGCCTCAGCAGCAGTAGGTCCCAACATACACAAAGGGAAAAGCAAAATTCTTCGATACAACACAGCATGCACCAATCCAGTCACAAGTGACGGAGAACATTTGGAAGATGTAAAAACCTTTACATATTTGGGCAGTATCATTGATGAACAGGGTGGATCTGATGCAGATGTGAAAGCGCGGATTAGCAAAGGAAGAGCAGTCTATCTACAATTGAAGAACATCTGGAGCTCAAAACAACTGTCAACCAACACCAAGGTCAGGATTTTCAATACGAATGTCAAGACAGCTCTATTGTATGGGGCAGAAACCTGGAGAACTACGAAAGCCATCATCCAGAAAATACAGGTGTTTATTAACAGCTGTCTACGCAAAACACTTCGGATTCGTTGACCGGACACTATTAGCAACAACCTACTGTGGGAAAGAACAAACCAGATCATAGCGGAGGAAGAAATCATAAAGAAGCGCTGGAAGTGGATAGGACACACATTGAGGAAAGCACCCAAGTGCGTTATAAGGTAAGCCCTCACTTAAAATCGTCAAGGCCAAAGGAAAAGAGGAAGACCATAGACATTACGCCGGGAAATTGAAATAGTCATGAGAAAAATGAACAAGAATTGGATGGAACTAGAAAAGAAGGCCCAGGACAGAGTGGGTTGGAGAATGCTTGTCGGCGGTCTATGCTCCATTAGGAGTAACAGGCGTAAGTAAGTAAGTAAGTAAGTAAAGTAATGACTACAAACACCATCTTTTTCGTATTATTTTAACCTTATTATGTTATTCGTGGAGAAACAAATCCTCTCAACAAGTCAATATTTACTCATATTCTCTAGAATCCTAGAGTATGAATACTGTATTTAATTCTCAACCATAGGACATCTTTGTACACTTTCACAAAGTAAAATCTTAAGACATCATAATAACATTACAACTATTTTAAAAGTTGTTTATCATTTCTCAAACTCTTATCATACTTTTCTACAGATACCGTAGATAAAAGAAAAACTTGATTTTTCTAATTACCAGACCCTACTTTCATAGTAACAATATATAATAATATCTACCTATCGTACGATGACTTATACACTCAGACTAAATAAAAGATCATACTGAAACAAACAAACAAACAAACAAACAAAGTTTACTTTAGTCTTAAATATTGGGTTTTTTTAGTTATGTATGATTGGTATTTTCAGTTTATGACAAAGAGGTCACTTTCATATGATCATTATCACACAATAGGCAATAGATTTACATATTCTACATACCTAATAATAATAATAATAATAATAATAATAATAATAATAATCACAAAACACTGTGAAATATAGATTATTGATTGAAAGTTCATTTCTAGTTGGCATACACAAGTAGTCTGAAATAAATACATTAATAGATTGTAGATAAGATGAATAAATGTCCAAAATAAACAACTACGGAAAGCTATAATACAGTAAACATGAATATATATAGGTGAGTTTCTATATAGACGTATCCCTTATTATGTTGTTAGCATATTCACAGAATCTACCTACTAAATACTCAATATTTTGAAACAACCAGAGTGGAAGATTCAAATAACCCCTACCTTGATTTTTAATCAAATTCGAGAACTTATGGCTAATCCAAAGCAGCGGAAAGTAGAAGTGTATATTAGATTAACCTCAGTGATCTCTAAGTATGGTCGTCCAGTTTAAGTAATTAGTATCAGAAGGGGTTTTGTAGAGATTGTAGTAATTTCAGTAGGTGAAATCATGAGTCAATTGAAGCTAGACCAACATGGAAAACCTGGAAGCACTCGACGACCGTTTCATCCTATTGTGGGACTCCTCAACAGTGTTCATCCACGATCCCGCTCGTGGGATCCGAACCCAGGAATTATCAACCACTGAGCCACAAAACTCCTTCTGATACTAATCAACATATGCTTACTAGTGAATGGCTTCAAGATGTATATCCTGGAGTTCTAGTGAGAAGCAGTGACCAGTGGAGTTCAACTGGGTCTGTTGTGAGATAGTAACCCACTGATGACAATGGTGGATGTTAGACATTAACACTGTTGGATCCTGGCCGTCTCAGTGTTCTAGAGTTTAAGCGTTCGCGGGAGAGACCAATAAGTTTTGGCTTAGAACCTCGCGAGGCGGGATCGTGGATGCGCACTGTTGAGTAGTCCCACGATAGAACAAAACGGTCGTCCACTAATTCCAGATTTTCCATGATGGTCTAGTTTCAACTGACTCATGATCTCAACTATTTAATCAATTAGATTGATTGAGACACTAACTAGAGTTTGGGAGCTGGATCTAATCACATCTGACCGGTCACCACCTCCGATTGTCTCAGTTTACAAGTAAGAACAGATATCCTCTTTTCATAACCACAGGAGAACCAGTTTGACTGACACACTGTCTAAAATATTAGCTTTAATAGTCATCTGACGCTTGGCTAGTGTGGATAAACAGAAAAGCAGAACGGAAAAGACTGGTTCTAATCCTGGACGTGTATTCATAAACTACATACTCATCATTCGTCAGGTGATGAAATGAAGACATACCTACTGATGCCCAACTGTATTTGTATTTCTTGACCTTAAGGTAGCATTCAGCTCTATTGATCAACACGTTTTCAAGGCATTAACTGTCGCTGAAAGCCCAATCAAGCACGTATATCAACCTCGTAAATGCTTTTTATTCCAACATTAGTAGTCGAGTTAAATTTTATGGAGAAGTCTCACTAGAATTATCAACTTCTAGTTGATTTCATCAGTTATCCGCTTTCTCCAATTTTTCTTAACTTTGTAATAGAAATCCTTCTAAAAATAACTCCATCATGGTATGATTTTTCAGGAATCAATCTACATCCACGAGATTCACCTATTGACTTTGAATGCACAAACAAAGTATTCCTCTTTGGCAAAAAACACTGACAAAATGCAGTCTTTTAATCATCTTGAACAACGATGCTAGCATATTTGATGGATTGGTGTCTGACTAAACCACGTCATGGATTCAGAAACCTCAACTGGTTTTTGGCAACTTACGTCACTTTTGGAGTAGGTGAGATGCACGTCTATCAACCATACAACAAGTATGCTTCTCAGCAGCTCGATCTGCTCTGCTTCATGGTTATGAAACGTGGCATACTGTCGGCTCTTAGCAACCATATCCACAAATTAAACTTTTATGTCGAAAATAAATTTGTATGGCAACTCTTCCTACCTTGACCACTGATAATGGGCTTTATTGCAGTGGGTGAAAACAAAACTTTTTATTTCCATTTCCTCATAATTCTCTTTTAATTTTTGCCTTATTACTTTATTGATAGTATTTTTTCAACTCTTGTGTAATATAACAACACGGTACCTAGAATCCCTTCCAATAGTGTTATTAGAGATTCTGTAATCTCTAGACACTTGAAACACACACTTCAATCCACCTATAAGTAATTAACTTCCTATTATAATCACTAATATTATCTTTTTTATCTGCTTGATTACCCGTTTGACATTAATTTCACTGCTACTTGTGAAGTTCTAATTCTATTTATTTATCTATTTAAACATATAAACATTGGTACAAAGAGGCACCAAATAGATATGCGCCACATTAATCATTCGATTTATGTGAGGGCTAGGATACTACCTGGGTGCCCAAACAGAAGCAAGTAGTTTTCTGAGGGGGCCACACTCGGAGCCTTTGACTTAAAGGTCTGATCCATAATGAATTGAGGCAACGTCAGGAGATGCAGTCCTATGGTAGACGGTGACCAACGATTGGTTAACACGCCATTTGTTCCTTCAAAATCATGGAGCCCATGTGCATCGTTGGTTTGGAATCGGGAATTTCCAACGCCTCTAGGTGGATCCTCAATATTTATCAACCCGGTTAAAGTGTCTGGCATTCGCATTTCGTTCTCTCAGTTTCGTAACCAACAGTAATGCTGCCAGAAGGCAGTGAGTAGGACTTCTTTGACAGTGATTTTATGCACGTGGCCATGTGAGAGCATTTCGAAAGAGAGAGCTGACTCTCCCCACTCTCGCCCGTACCAGGGCTTTTAGGGGTTAATAGACTTATACAACACTACTAGCTGATTGGTATTACATTGTCATCCTATGCATTAGTGGATAATAATGACAAAAACCTAATTAGATTTTGTCCTTCTGGCTTCCCAGTTGTTGATTTCTAAAACAGGATAGATATACGGTGTAATATTTGGTTATGTATCAGTATATGAAAAATAAGTTGAAACCGTCACCAACAGCAGACTACTCTAGTTAAAATAAAAACGCATCTATTTAAACTCACCCAATTCTGATAGATAATCAGATTTAGACTCATTTTCCTGTACAGTTATAACATTATTGTCAGTGTGTAACTGAGAGTTGATGGAAAGGGATGAATGATTCATTTGATCATCAAAGTCTTCCTTGCTTGAATCCCAAGCTGTCCAATAAGTTAACCGATGTAATTGACTCAGTATTGGTGATGAACTAAAGAATGAAACTATCACAACTAAAATTATTGTAGATCCAAATGAAAACATAGCAAAGTACATATAGTGAATGTTTTTAATGATCCATGGTCGTGTATCGTCTTCACCACAGATTGGATCAGTGTACACAAACGTTAGAATCATTCGAATAAAACCGATAATAAATCCATAAATTAGACCGAAAAAAGCGCCCTTTAAGAAGTAAATGTGAACAAAGAAAAAGTCTTTCATTTGTGAAACATGAAAGTAACATGAAAGCATTCAACAGGACACTCATTTTTTATCAGTCAAATGAGATCACTGATTAGATCGGATGGTTTACTAACTTACCTACTTACTCCTGTTACTCTCAATGAAGCATAGGTCGCCGATCAGTATTATATTTTGAACCAAGTTTACTTGTAAAATTTAGATAATTAGTTTCTAACCTAACAACTTAGTGATAAGTCGCTCGCTATTAAACTTAGAGGCTTTGAACTGTTAACAGTTTAGAAGTCCCAAACAAAGACTTCAAAACTGTCTACTGCTTCTTAATTTCCAGTGGTTTGCCAAGTAACGTTAGTACGTGATAAAATAATCAAAACGACCCATAGTATCATTGAATAAGAGAAGGAGAATTCAGCGAAGGAAATTTTCTTTTCGACGAAATCATTTACTTAAGCAGTACATTCGTTATATGGATGATACATAAGTTTATAGGAGGATAGAAAAAATTTTGCATCACAAAAATGGATTCGGGAATAAATAACATACTAATCAAAAGGTAAGGAAGAAAACAGTTTATGGGCCAGTTAATAGTCCAATTGACCGATATGAAGAAAAGCGACAAACACAAAAGCTCATAATAATATCAGAATGGGTTTTGTGGAGATTTTTAGAAATTTCACTGGTTGAAATTATGAGTCAATTGAAGCTAGACCAACATGGAAAACCTGGAAGCACTGGACAGCCGTTTCGTCCTAGTGTGGGACTCCTCAGCAGCGCGCACCCACGATCCCGCCCCCCGCGGGATTCGAACCCAGGGCCTTTCAGTCTCGTGCCAGGCGCTTAACCAACTGGACCACTGAGCCGGCATCCAACGGTGTTAATGTCTAACTTCAACCAATCCACGAAGTTGCGCCACCATGCACCTCAGTATTGTTGTACAGTTTGCCTTACTATTCCATAAGCTAAACCTATTTTGCTGTCGACTGAGTGACTAAAACCTTAGGGTTGGAAAAGTTGCGTCCGCTTTTCTAATCACTATACACATCTATACATGAAATGTCTGTATTCAAGGGGTCGCGAATGGTGGTTGATATTTATCTAACAGCGACTAAAAAAACTAACCAGTAAACCGCTTAAAGCACCTTCATGACTCATAGTATTCCGTGTAGAAGAATTAGAGATAAACAAGAATGAATTAAATGAATGCTTGAGCTTGTTTACATTAATCTGTTGACTAGATAGATGATAATCATGATCATTTAGATGTCCTAACTTGTATCACTTAATACCCTCTGTCAGCAATACTTCACTACAATCAGTACACAATATGTAGGATAAACGTAAAGTTTTCTAGAACATTGCTATATGATAGTGAAAGTAAAATATGAATTATTGTATAGAATGGACAAATAGGCACATCCCACTGACTATTAAATATATGATTTCTCTTCATCTGATTGATTTCTACTCCGAACTCATTGAGATTGACTGCTTGTATTTGTGTTGAATAAAGTATTGTCTAGTCTATACTCTAGTTCTCTATTCTGGGTCGGGAATCCTGGTTCTGATATAACGTGACTAGTCTCATTATTGCATTAACGTATTATCGTAGTATTCCTGTGAGAGAGAAAAAGTGTTTTAAATCATCTATCATGTCGAATCATTTATGCGAAAATTACCGCACAACATATTTCATACGGTTAGTTTCCTAGTTAAATGAATCAAACAACAATAATGAACTGTAAAATATACAACTTGCCTTTTCACTACACCGTTTCCATAATATAGCGCATAAAAATACTGATGCTATAGGAGGTGAAAAGTAGGCAGCAATCGCTTGAATGTAAATATACAGTTCACTTCCTTGAGACTGTTGCATTATTGGAATCCATGCAACACTTAACCCGACTAATACTGCGATAAACACACTTAAAGTAAATAAATACGTACGTAAAAGTTAAATATACAATAAACCGTAAATAAATAGTTAAATAAATTATTAAATGAAATTGCATGGTATGGTGTACAATCGAATTCGTGATATTTTACATTAAGTATGAGATGATTAGACCTGAATATCAATGTTCAAAACCTTCTGAAATGGAACATGCTCACTCAAAATCTCGTAAAGCCATAGACGAGATTTTTCAACTTTTTCCAAACGTCATTATCCCTTTTTCTTATTTGTAAAGATGAACAAAACCTTTAGATTATCAAGGTTTTAGTATTTAATAATTCCCGCAACCAGACAATGATGAATACGTTGACGAGCTCTGTATCTATACCATTATTTATATAGAGTGTCAGTGTTTGAAGGCCACTGTTTTTTTTAATTCAAATATTAAAGTTTCAGGAATTTCCGGGTGGGCCGAAGTATTTGTCATTGAGATCAGCTGTTGATGAATGGAACGATGTTTTTAACGTCCCAACCCAAACCTTCATCATTGGAAACCTTAAAACAAAGCAAAGCATTTCTTAAACTTTTCTAACTACCGGATACACTGTGGTCTACTTTTTTCATGTTTAGACAGTCGAAAAAACCACGTAAAGATTTGAAAAGGTTGAAAGAGACTACAATCATAGCTTTGAACAATATTAAGTGGATTATTTGAAGCTAACAATTGTTAGGTAGTGACCCTAACCTCACTGGATGGCCGTTTCGTCTCACTGTGGGACTCCTCGGCAGTGCGCATCCACGATCCCGCCTCACCAGATTCCAAACCAGGACCTATCAGTCTCGCGCGCGAGCATATAGCCATCAGACCGCTGATCCGGCGTCCAACGGTGTTAATGTCTAACTTCAACTAATCCATGAAATTGAGCGACACATCCACCATTTCGATAGAACAATGAGAAGACGTAGTTGATCTGAAAAATGTGATGTATTTGCGCTATACATTTCGAACAATCTGGCGCAAATACATCACATTTTTCAGATCAACTACGTCTTCTCATTGTTCTATCGAAATTTATAAAAGGGACTAATTGCTTTACATCCACCATTGTTATCAGTGAGTTTCTATCTCAAAACAGACCCAGTTGAAATCAACCGATCACTGCTGATGAGTCACACAATAAGACGAAACGGCCATCCAGTGCTTCCAGGTTTTCCATGTTGGTCTAGCTTCAGTTCAACAATCAATTCAACAATCAAATTACTATAATATCCACAAAACCCATTCTGATACTTATTGAATACTTTGTGTCAGTGACTAGGATATTTAGTTTTATTTTCACTGAACAAGTAACATTACAAAAACATTTTACAAAATAAATACTATCATCTTAATAACTCACCGACCCACAATCATCAATTCAATATTTTGAGCATTTCGTCGCCACTTTTGATATATATCCACTGTAAATAACGTACTTGCAGAATTAAAAATTGATGTCAGATCAGAAATTAAAGCTGCGAGCATTACAGTCAACATTAAACCTCTAAGACCTAGTTATTATTGTTGCGGGAAGTGAAATATTCAAAAAAACATTTCAGGAAAAGATCAAAGAAGGGAACACTCATGATAAACATTAAAACTTATCAAAATTTTTCTACAAAGAGGTCAACCCCTGAAAGTACTGACATCTCTTTCATGTAATTAGAAAAAGTAAATTAGCGTTTTATGTGTTTACAGTTCACAAGCGTAATTTAATTCGCAATTTTTTAAGTGTTTAGATGACAACCTCCCAACATTTAAACAAGGAATATTTTCGGAAGTGCAAAATCGAAGATTTTGTGTGCTTACAATCAAGAATAAGATTTAAACTTGATAGATCAACATTTAGATTGTAAAATTTCATTTAACAAATTAAACGACTCCTATCAATGGCAAGGAATATATTAATTTCGTCTAGGTATAGTTTAAATTAATTTGTTTAATCTGGTTGGCGTTCTTTTTAGCAAGATTTTTTCTACGGGATAGGGTTGCCGACCACATGCCCGAATCTTCACATCTACTCGGGCTTGGGATCGACTGTAACTCTAGAAGAGTTCCTGAGAAGATTGTTAACATTATCTGGAACTCATAAGACGGACAATAGTACAAAGTCCTGCATGGAGGATAGCTGACAGATGCATTTCAAATAAGGACTGGAGTCAAACAAGGCTGTCTACTCCCCCCCTTTCTCTTTCTTCTGATGGTTGACTTGATTATGAAGACATCCACATCTGATGGAAAGCAGGGAATACAATGGAAAGCTCGGAATCAACTAGATGATTTGGACTTCGCAGATGGCCTAGCCCTCCTATCCCATACACATCAATAAATACAGATGAAGATAATTAGTGTAGCAATAAACTCTATATCAGTAGACCTCAACATACACAAAGGAAAAGCAACATCCTCAAATACAACACCGAGAACACCAACTCAATCACACTTTATGGAAAAGCTCTGGAAGGTGTGGAATCTTCCACGTGCCTGGGAAGCATCATCGATGAACAAAGAGGATCCGATGCAGATGTAAAGGCAAGGATTGGCAAAACAAGGACACCATTCCTACAGTTGAAGAACATATGGAACTCAAAGCAAATGTTCGCAAGCCAATATCAAAGTCAGAATCTTCAATATGAACGTCAAGATAGTCCTACTGTACGGAACTGGAACTTCGAGAACTACTACAACTATCATCAAGAATGTTCAAGTATTTATAAATGATTGCCTACGCAAGATACTCAACATCCACCGGCTGGATAACATCAGCAAAAGCCTTTTGTGGGAGAGGACAAACCAGCTTCCAGCTGAAGAGGAGATTAAAAAAAGACGTTGGAAGTGGGTATGACATACATTGCGGAAATCACCAAACTGCATCACAAGGCAAGCGCTTACTTGGAATCCTGAAGGCAAGCGAAAAACAGGAAGGCCAAAGAACACAATTCGTTGAGATGAATAACAATTGGAAAGAACTGGAAAGGATTGTTCAGAACAGGGTTGAACGGAGATTGCTGGCGGGCGGCTTATGCTCCTCCATGAGAGGTAAATGGCGCAAGTAAGTAAGTAGGTGTAGTTCTCGACACGAATATGCTTTTTGACATGATATAGAAATTTCCAATAATAATCCAGGTTGATAACTCCATAGCACATTAACCATTCATAGAAATCATTATTTGTGAAATTTATATTTCAAATAATCTCAACGATTGTATTTTAAACAATTCTATCCTTATTTACAGCTAACTAACCCGGAACCTTCCTATGATTATTTTTGACTTACTATATCTAATATTTTCTACTACTTTTGGATCTAGTTTGATCAATTCGTTTCACTCTGCTAACTTGTTTTGGTAACTTGGACCGATTTACATACGTCCCAGGTTCCACTTTGCATCTAACTAAAAACTCACATATTACTGAAGTACCAGGTAAGAATTAACATTCAGAAACGCTAAAATATGCAAAAAGATTTCAATTAAAGAGAAAAACAATACCTAAATGTAATTTTTAGATTTCTATATTAAATAAAAATGATAGACAAACGTTAATGACCTCTAGCATCAGAAAAAGATTACAAAAGTAATGCTGTAATTCAGTGTACTTATTTCTTCATAGTTTGAATTTATCAATTAAATATAGTTACTGTCCAATGCTTTTTGTTTACACCTAGACCTTAATTCAGTAACTATCACTTCAATTTTCAAACAATTCAGAAGTCGACTATCAATTAGTATCAATTAAAATTAATATCATAGGCAATATCAGTGCATCATTCAAACAAGCCGGTGTGTTAACAGAATTCGTAAAATTCGGTTTATAATAGTATTCAATCTTCCCTTTTCTGAGTTTCGAAATCATTCTTCAACTAAACCTTATATAAAAGGAGTGAAATCATGATAATAAAGTAGTAATTAATTAGTTCACAGAGAAAATTACATTTCATTTGTACACAATCGTGAAGGTAACGTACCAGAAGGCATTAGATCAATCACAAGTTTTGGATATGCCATATTTGAACAACCATTACGATGTCCACAAATTTTAAGGCAATCAGAACCAGGGAAGCAACCAATCTCATCTAGAAAAAAAAATAAATTTAAATGACATTAATTTGCAGGAAAGAAGTGATTTACAATTTCATAATAACTTACTACTTCTTAATAAAAATCGTTGTATAAGGTGCTAGTTATTAACTGATTGAAACATGAATTTGTACTTTAAAAAATAGACTATCAAACTGTCAATCATAACGAATTTGTTCCAGTTTGGACTGTTGGACAATTTTCATAGCTAATTCATAATCTAAGTGTTTCAAAGCTCAGTACACAAACTAGAGTTGTCTGAAATTTTGTGAACTTTCTAGTGTTATCGTTCACGCTTCACAAAGCGAAAACGAGAAACATACTATTTGTAAAGGTGAAAACTTTTAAAGAACAGATTAAAGATAACACAGGCTAGACATTCAAGTCAAATGTTGAAAAGCTTGAAACACTAAAGTATTACTAGCCTCCTTTTTTAAAGGCATGATTTACTTATTATAAATATACACTGTTGGGTGGCTACAAGTAGTCGACATAAAAATCCGGACCTACTTTTCATGCTATTTGGCGCTCCTCAGTGTGATAATGAGTGATCTAAATGATGAGATAAACATGGCGTTAGTCACTACTCAATGATCAACCAATCGTAAATATCTCACTAGTACAGAAAATCAGTTACACCTTGAACAACTCAGCGATGACACCATAGACTATGAAGATGGGTGATGCGAGCCCGGGTCTACCAGAGAGCATCAGCTTCCTCAGGATCGCAGTTACACCTTGCTGGTGAGTGTAAAAACTAAGTTCAGGGTTTTTTGTTGACTACCTTTAACCATCTAACATAAGAACATATAGCATGGGATGCATATGGATCTAGAACTAACTGAGTTTCATTAAGTGAATTTGGCGAGACTATAATTTATGAACGAATCAATCAGATACAAGATAAAGAATCTTGAATTTTAGCGCGAAATTTATTCATCCATTTAGCTAAATAGCGTTTTGGCATTATAACTGATGTCAGTTCGTGATGTAAACTTTAAACCTAATTGCAACTGGTTTATAACCCTAATTTAATCCTAATTAGTAGGTGTCCATTTTCAAGGTCACTTTAGAGTCACTCAAAGGCTGTCCATAAATTATAATCTCATCATATATTTAATATTAAATCACAGAAATAATTGATTTCATCTAAATGTACTTTCCTAAGTTTACTTGTTAATACTTAAGGTGTATCTTATTTTTTAGATAATTTTAAAAATACCAAGGCGATGAGATTCTAAGAATGAAATGAATCTACTTTATATAAAGGATCTCAGCACAGATACAGAAGGCTCGACTAGCTTTTACCAGCTTGTGTCATTTATGGCGTAGGCGAGATATTCATCTATCAACCAAACGACGTGTTTACTGCACAGCAGTTCGTTCCGTCCTACTTCATGGCATTGAAACATGGCCAGTAAGAGTAGAGGATATCCGTAGGTCACTAGTATTTGATCATAGGTGTCTTCGAAACATTGCTTGTATATCCTGGGACCATCGAGTAAGTAACGCAGTTGTTAGGAAACGGGTACTAGGTAAGGATGGCAAATCCATTGATGACGTAGTGAAACTTCATCAGTTGAGATGGCTGCGACATGTGTTACGTATGCCCAACTAACGACTGCCTCAACGTGAGATGTTCAGTGGTATAGGAGTAGGTTGGAAGAAAGCTAGAGGCGGCCACACCAAAACATGGCACAAATTCATCAAGTCATTGACAAGTGGACTGAGCCATGTCGGTAAATGCAGACTATTTGGTTGGGATCCGAGAGACGATAGCAACCGGTGGTTAGAGACCTTGAATGACATGGTTCAAATTCGTTTTCAATTACGCAGGTGCATCCACTCTTTGTGTTCTGCCAAATTCTAATCTTCTGAATTCTTAATGTCCTTTATTTTTTCTCTTTTCGAATTTATTTCACTGGATTATACTGCTTGAATAACATTTTCAAACCCTAATGTTTCTGATTACTGATTATACTTTTACTACCTCTACTACTATAGGATTTGAATCGACAACTGCATGTCCATGTTAATGTGACATACTAGCTTGAACTGATGTACGTACGTACAAAGTTCTACGTTGTGACTGACTAATATAAAGGATTCTTATGATATAAAAAAATAGTTTAGATTTATGATAGCAATGGAGAAAATAAAATTGATGCACCTTCATTGATGGTATTTAAAAAGAAACAATAAATTAGTAAAATAAAACTATTAAAACAATTATTGTACCCGAGAACAGTGAAAGAGATTGATTACTCTATGCTTCTACATTTATATATCATATTGAAGAAACATGAAGGTAATGATTATGGAAATGTTTATGTGGTGTCAACTATCCAGTAAATACTTGATGAGCACGCTAAGTGTTTATTTTATTTGAGTTACTTACTTACGCCTGTTACTCCTCATGAAGGAACATAGGGCGCTCACTAGCATTCGCCATCCAACCCTATCCTGGTCAATACTTTCAAGCTCCTTCCAGTTGTTATTCATCCTTTCCGTATCTGCTTTTATTTCGCGACGTAATGTGTTCTTTGGCCTTCCTGTTTTCCGCTTGCCTTCAGGATTCCAAGTAAGCGCTTGCCTTGTGATGCAGTTTGGTGATTTCCGCAATGTATGTCATACCCATTTCCAACGTCTTTTCCTAATTTCCTCTACAGTTGGAAGCTGGTTTGTTCTCTCCCACGAAAGGCTTTTGCTGATGTTATCCAGCCGGTGGATGTTGAGTATCTTGCGTAGGCAATCATTTATAAATACTTGAACATTCTTGATGATAGTTGTAGTAGTTCTCGAAGTTCCAGTTCCGTACAGTAGGACTATCTTGACTGTCGTATTGAAGATTCTGACTTTGATATTGGCTTGCGAACATTTGCTTTGAGTTCCATATGTTCTTCAACTGTAGGAATACTGTCCTTCGCCTGTAGCTCTTCCAGAGTTACTGCTGGTCCCAAGCCCGGGTAAAGGAGGAGGGTTGGGCATGGGGTTAGCGTCCCCATCCCGTAGAAAACTAACTAGCTAAAAAGCGCTTACTTAATTTACATGATCAAAATGATACCTCCTTATTCTAAATATAATTTTGAGAAAAATATCAGCAAAGTTAACCGTGATAATTTTTTTACTGACAAATTTATGATAGATGAATATATTTTCTTACTTGGATATAATACACGACTTATCATTCCTGGAATAACCATAATAAAAATTGGGATTTGTTTTATTATCCCAGTCATTAATGTTGCACCTTGGGCATGTGACAAACTTTTTGCTGCCAATGTACGTTGAACCATCATCTAAAATGTGAATAGATTACACCAAAAAAATGTTATACGACGAATGTACAAACAAGGGAACTATTTGAAATATTTTTGATCAACAGATACTCTTAGTTAACACTCCAACATTAATTTGATAGCGTACTATAATTGGTAACTAAAATAGTATCATGAGGGGGAACGGAATATTTGTAATAAAATTGAAATTCACCTAATGCTGTACAGTCTATCTTCTAACTATTTCAACACTATGGTACTTTCAGCCATAAAACGTAGTAGACATTAACATTGGGGATAACAGCAATATATATGCGAATATGATAACAATTTTCATGCTTTGTTCTTTAAACTTAATAAAGTGAATATCAATGCAAAAACCATGATCGTCAAGTCACACAGAGAGAGAGAGAGAGAGTTTAAGACTAGCATATTTCATCATTCCCAAATCTTTTATAGACCTTCACAATATACAGAATTCTAAAAGTTATCTTCACGTTGTGCTATGCGTAAATATTAATACACAGTGGAAATTAATGTATAAGAGCTTATTAAACTTAAAATTTTAATAGTTGAGATCATGAGTCAATTGAAGCTAGACCAACATGGACAACCTGGAAGCACTGGACGACCGTTTCATCTCACTGTGGGACTCCTCAGCATGCGCATCCACGGTCCCACCTCGCGAGATTCGAACCCAGGACCTATCGGTCTCTCGCGCGAGCGCTGACCAGTGGAGTTCAACCAAGTCTGTCGTGAGACAGCAACTCACTGAAAACAATGGTGGATGTGTCGCTCAATTCCGTAGATTAGTTGCATTTAGACATTAACACCGTTGGATGCCGCCCATCTCACTGGTCTAATGGTTAAGTGCTCGCGCGCACGATTGATAGGTCCTGGGTTCGAGTCTTGCGAGATGGGATCGTGGACGCGCACTGCTGAGGAGTCCCACAATAGGCCGAAACGGTCGTCCAGTGCTTCCAGGTTTTCCATGTTGTTCTAACTTCAATTGACTCATGATCTTAACTATTAAAATTACCATAATATCCACAAAAGAACCCTTCTGATAATTTTAAAATGTTTTACTTTGAACAGTAAAAGATCGTAAGAGAAGCCTAGTCAATTATTACATTCATATAAATGCGAACAAACAAAAATCAAACATGGTGTGACTAGCAAATGAGAAGTGGAATGAAGTGATGAAATTGTCAGAGTTTTTGTCTATTGGATTAAAACCAAAATGATTCAACATGAACATCTTGACCGAACTTTTGTAGTAAATTAATCGGTTGATGGTTGATGGTTAGGGAACTTCTTTAATTGCAAAGCGAATTTCATTAAAATAATCAGGATGCACCATAATCTTAATGTACACAAATTTCCTTAGCTTCTAATAGTCAATTAATTTCTAGTTCTTCGAAGCTGGTGTGGATTATTGAGAAAACCAGTGCCACAGCAACTTGAAAATATCTATACAAGATTCTAACAGATTTTACTTCCTATAAACATTCAGTAGCTTTTCATCAACAACAACAAATCCAAAGTTAAAAGAAAATAGGTCATATTAAATTATAAGATGATTAAGGTTGGAGATTCGGTTATAGAAATCCAACCCACATACTGTAAAAGTGGAATAGACTGGTAGCGAAAATCAAATAACTAAAGGAAGCTATCTAAAGTTTCCCTGTTAATCGATCGTTATTCAACTGACATTCATACGTAACAAAATAATCTTTGAATTATCAGTGATGATGTGTTATTTTACAGAAAAAAAGTAAAAGATAACAACCTTGTATTACCCTAAGTGTAAACTTTTACTTTACTTATTAATTCTTTTAATTTGCGCATAAATCACGGTTAATGATTTACAAACCTGTTGCTTAGATTTTCACTACAAAATACCCTAGTAATATATATTTTTAGATTTATCATTTATGATAAGTTGTAATCTTTCATTTTATGCATGTATTCAAGTGAATTTGTAATTCAGAATAATAGACGGGAAACAATGTTTTATTTTGGCTAATTTCTTCAATGTTTAGGATCACTAAATTCACTTGGTATTGTTTACTTGTATATTCCCATTGTTATAGGACGAAACGTGCGTCCTGGATTCCACTGCTTGCCACTATCCATCTTTGCTTAAAAAGCTTTTGATTTAAGGCTATATCGAAGCAATCCGCACAGGATTCACATATGCCAACATGAAACTGATCAATTGCAGTCCTAAGTAACAATGGAAAGATACAAGTAAAACAACACCAAATGAATTTAAAACTTTATTACACCTGCAGGTGGCCATCAAGACTCAGTAGCCAAGTGGATAACGCGATGGCGTTTGAAGAGAACGATACTGGGTCCTATAGTGAACATCAACTCTGCGATGGGGACACATCCAGTTGACGAGTTTCAAATAAGACGAAACGCGCGTCCTGGATTCCATTGCTAGCCACTATCCATCCTTGCTTAAAAAGTTATGATCACTAACTAAGAAACGAGTAAAAAAATTCCAATCATTACCATAAACAGTAACTATATTAGTGAAGTTGTTTTTAGTGAGCTTAAGCAGAATTTATGCATCTATATCTTAGTCGATATTTTTTAGATGATAAAACTAAGAATAACATAGATATTAACCAACTTTTTGCTCCTTAAAACTACTACGGATTTTTAATCTTGATATTAGTATGTTTGATTGAACTATACTCAAAAGTAATCTAAGATTAAGCTAAAAAATAATAATGATTATCAGATTAACTGTACGGGGTTTATTATTGAGTTTCTATCAAGTTATACAACCATTAGTTGTATTTAAAGTACTTAGTAACATAAGCATTTTTCATTTACGTTGAGTTTTGTATTTAGGGAGTTTTGAATATGTGAATCATTACTCCAATAATACGAAGCTTGAAGATGTGTTATACAGTAACACTCTCATTAAGTCTAATTTTAAAACATTGTGTTTTCTTTGATCAAATCAATAGTCAGGACTGATTCTAACTTCTGATTTTTAAACAAAAGGATATAAATTTTGAGTAATATATAAATAAAAATGATCAACTCAACAGCGTTTGAATTGCACAAGCAGGAAACGATAAGGTCAAAGTGCAAGTGATCTAAACCAAACCACTGAATTAATTAGAAATAATGGAGCTGACTAATGACTAGTTGTAATTGCTTTATGAGCCAAACCCTTCTATCTTTATACTTCTTATGACGATAAGGCACATAATTTTAATTCCATTGGTTATCTTACTTAAAGTCCATGTGATTCATTGGGTTGAGTGTATAACTTCTTGTCTGAACTACAGGTTGTCTGAATACAATTCTACTACTAGTGTTGTTGCTTAAATTATCTTAATATGTATTTAATTACTGTTGAAGTTCAAAAACAGTTATGGTTAACTCTGTATCCGTTATTACAAAGACTACAATCACTTTCTTTGTTTGTCCTTCAGAAATTATTCCCGTAAATACTCATAATAAATTTTTCATCTTCCATTATTTATGAAATCGTACCAAATGCAACTTTAAGAAAAGTGCCAGAGTTTCACCCAAGAAAGCTTTTAATAATAATAATAATAGTTATATATATGATAAAATTATTCAAATACCTGATCAGCACACCAATACCAAATAGAAGAAGGAGTTTGTCCAAGCAAGAAACCAAGCCATGGCATGTCTGGGTCATTTATCTCTCTTAATAATTTAAACGCTTTTCGCGAGGGGAGACTGCATCTTAAACGAGAATCAATTGTCGGTTCATTAGATAACTGGAGTAGTGATGTTATATTTTTCTCCTTGGCTGTCAATATCATCGTATTTAACAGGTTTCCGCCTTCCCTAGATGATATGTTAACTTCGGCAATAGCTCCTCCATATGCATCAAGGAGTCCTTGAAAACCGCCAACTTTGATAAAACCTGTAATGAATTTTAGTTATCACTATGTAAACTTGGGAAAAAATGCTTTAAAAAGTAGCTGTAGGTGCCTCGAATATTTATTGTTCTAAAGACTTCGAAATGTGACAGAGGAAAATTTACAGCCAGTATGCTTGAGTTTACTACGACTAAATCTATAAAGGAGTGGATTACGTTAACGTTATACAAAGTGTATCAGTTCACGTTATCAAAATGGTAGGAAATAACACTGAGAAGTTAAAAACTATCAAAAAGCTTTGACTACTAAGTCATCATACCATAAAAGTCGTAATATTTTAAAAATTCAGTTTACTTACTTAGTATTGTTAGCACAGTGGCACCAAAGATCATGACGAAAAACTGAAGGGTGTCAGTGTACAAGACAGCAGCAAGCCCACCTAAGACAGGAAAACAACACAGGAAAAGGTTTTAAGTTAGTACACGATTGAGTAATACAACAAACGTTACACAGTCAATCAGTAGGTCTATATAACCGCCATTTGTAAACAAGGAATTCAATAATTACAAAGAAAAAACCTTCATTCTTATAGTTTTATAATCAAAAATACACAAATTATAAAATTTGATGAATAATCTAAAATCCAAACAAGCTTCAGGTGACTACTTAATTAAGTCAGTTTTATAACGTTGACAGGAACCTACAACTATGTAAGCTTCTCAAGAGCCCATTGGTATACTGATCGAGCATTTTGTTAAACTGCACCAACAGAGTTAATATTACAGATTACGGTGAGCAAGTTTATTTTACTCTCTCTTTAGAATAAAAGGATCCTCTAACATTCACCATTTCAGGAAGTAAGCCAAAGTTTATATGATATCATTATGTGGTAGATTTTCAAATAAATCAGAAACGGAGAGCCAACAAAACCATAAAACTGATGTGATTATGGACTAGAAGAATGAAAAAATATTTTATGACTGATGGCAATCAGTAGAAGAACCCCAATCAAGTGTTCATATACGATGAGGGTGTAATCAAAATTTAACCGGAAATCTGTATATTTATACTTTTTAGAGATGAAAACCAAAAACATATTTTTTAACACTGGACAATCCAGGAAATAACTAACCGTCAAGCAAATAAATAGATAAATATTATAGCTACTCGCGTTAAAAAAACATATATTGTGTCAAGATACATAACTAATGCAGAAGACCAGTAATAAGTTGATTATAAAATTGTGTTTTATTAACTAACCTGTTACTGTAATAAGCGTTGTAATACTAAGAAGTATAATAATTGAAAGCCATGTATTCCATTCCAAGGCTTCTGCTAGAAACAGAGAGCCAGAGTATAAGTTCACCTGAGAATAAATAAGTGTAATTTTACGAAAATAATGTAACTATTCATCTTTTTCGCCTTAAACTGGCACATGCTGAAAATTAAACCATAAGGAAACAAAGACGTCTCCGAATAACTTTTTATCTCATTTTCTTAAAGTGTGACTAACATTTGAGTTTTGTAGGAGCTCCTCTAATCACTGTAAATTTATTAAAAAACAGTTTGTGAATTTAGTTTCAAGTGTTTTAGTGACTGCATAAAATATACGTGTATTTAAGATGGCGAACCTTCAAACCTGGAATCTTTTATCGGTTATAACTTCAAAATAAGATTTACTCACTGATTATGTTAACCTTTTACCTAGGTTTTAATGAATGCGAATGAAAATACTCGTTAATGACAGACACTTAATATAACTACTGCAATTGTAAAACGTTAGACACTATTATGAAACTAAGTTCACTATTTTTACAACATCTAGCCTCAAAAAAGTAGATTTTATCCATGCATCCAAATATTTTAGCGCTATGAAGGCAATGAACCCTATTGTCTAATGTATGTTGTTAGCCGACTCACACACCAATATTTGAGTTTAAAAAATTCGACTTCAGTATAAACTTTGGATGATTTGGGTTTCAAAGTCTCAAGAGTACGAGAAATAGTGTGAATATATTCTGTTCATTAGTAACAAACCAAAAAACCCAGACAATGAAAAGTAGCAAAAATATACGAGTTAAATACTACTTTAACAAAACCAATGTTATTGGCAAAAGTATTATATAATGCAGCATGTGCAAGTCCGAATTCGCTACTGACATAAGATATCAGTTTACGTTTCTTTCATTCATGATAAGTACACTAATGAAACAATTTAGATTTAAACCATCTGTTATTAAACCGTGCACATTAAGGAGACATTGCTTGTGAATGACACATTTGTCCTCACTTAGAAAAAACCAAACAAGTATTTCTATGAAGCCAAAATTTGTTGGGAATTAAACAGGTGTATCTCTTTTGACTACCTGAAAAGAGAAAGACTGAAACTCACGGAAATTTTAGTAAAAATGTACAGCACTAAAGAAATAACAGCCAGATACATTTGGATACGATTTCCACCAAAACGCTTTTTCATGTATTCAGGGAGAGTACTGACCTGAATAGGCATTAATCTAATCTGTTAAATTTACTCCACTAGCAATATAAACCGGAAGAAAAATCCAACCCAGTAGTTGCAGTATGACTGAAGCCTAAAAGCATTATTAAAATAAAAATAAAAATCGTACATTCAATTCGAATGCCCCAACAGCTATCCCTGACGCTGCTCCAGAACCAGCCAATCCGATAAAATGCTCACTACCAACGTTAGTGGCAAATAGAGAGGCGCCAATCTGAAAACTATGTAAAGCAAAGGTGTTTTACCGGAAGCCACGTAACAAATCGCCCAGCTAGAAAGTAGTCAGTAATAGTTCCACGTCGGTGAGTAAATAGAGACTAGAGATAAATATTAAGTGATATAATTAGGCATATGCAACAACCCAGTAGTTATGACAAGTTAGAAAGTAGATCAGCTCAAATTATTATGGCTACCGAAACTCAAACATATTTCAAAATCAATCTTCAAACTTTAAGTATTCCGGCTGAATTAACAATTAAAGACTCGTGTTCTAGGCTTAAAACCACAAATTCCGTAAGGGTTATGACGATTTTCCAAAATATTTTAATCCAAGAACTGTAGCAGGTGGATCAAATTTCAAACCTAAGGGTGGAGAGACAAATGGGCTGGCTTGTTGATTTGAACACTATTTCTGACCGCTGGGTGTAAAAATGAAAATCTTCATTCACCGACTCCAGTTTTAGTCGAGAGGTTAGTAAAGTATATTTGGAAAACCAGTCACTGTAGTTAGTCAATATTTTGACAAAGAGATTGATAGAAAGTTAACCCCGAGTATGTAAAAGACGTTATTTTTGAAAATCCTAGCGGCAGAAATTGAAATGATTTCAGCACTCCATCCAGCGAACTTGTTTAGGTTTCTTCGAGATGAAAACTAGGATCGAAATCGGAAAGTTCGAGGAAAATGCGATTAAAAACCAGTAATTTCCGCCGGCTTGAGGCTATTTCAGAATATTTCCAGACGCTCAGTAAAATTAATTTCAAGATGATCTGGAGAAAATTCCACAACTTTCTCGAAGTCGAGAGCTTGGACTGCGAGTTACTTTTCCACATGTTGTATAAAGCAATATGCATGAATACTGGTGTTTCATCTCAGAAACTCAACCCGATTCTCTATACATATTTCTCTCAAACTTTGGTCCGACTCGTAAATTAGAAACCCAGCATCTTAATTTTACGAGAGCAAATGTCAGTGATGTTTTGGTTGTTATATTTTAATTGACAGAAAAATGAATAAAATGCAAATAAAATGTAAGACCAGATGTCATCTTAAAGACAGGTTTAGAGTTATTGTCATTTGAAACTTACCTAAAAACTCACACGCTATTAGTAGAACACAAATGATTTTATAATCACACAATGATTTTCGACCACTACCCTAATACCTATTATTTCCTGTCGCTGAAAATCGTTTACTATATATCTAAGAGCGAATTCAAAGCGTGAAAAATATCCAGGCAAACAAAAATCTTACATATAATCCAGTTGACAGCAGAGCTACCAAATAAACAACAAGGACAGAAATATCCCAATGGTCAACTTTCATTCCCATAGCCACGAAGATAGCGAAGCTTTCTGAATTCTCCACATGTGAGAATTGAATTATAAGATAAATATTGGAACGTTAAAACAAAATTGAAATCTAACCTCGTCATCACTATGCTTGTGTTCTTAACATGTTTTATGGATATATTTATCACTCCTGATTTTTCTTCGACTCTGCTCAAAATAATTCTATTTAAACGTGCACCTTGCTCGTTAAATATACCAAAACATCGAAAAAAATATATCAACAATCAAATTGACTTTTGTTTATAGTTTGGCTCCACCAAATCACCCTCTCTTTGTAAATCTGTACATTTAAATACGGCTGCTCCCCAGGATTCGACGTCTCCTAACTATCAAAAATTATTTTCGATACTATTTCCTCATACCTCAAGAGGGATATAAATCTCTTAGAACAATCCCACTAAAAATTAACCTGAAAATAAGTTCGACACTCGGATAACAATTAGATACCTTGTATCAAATTCTATAGCGGTAAAGGAATCCTTAAATTCAATAGCTCTGTAAGTCTTCGAGATTTGGTGCTGACCGCGTTAGTTTTAATGAATTCACCTAGGTGAAGGCACTCGGTCACGTACCCTCACCAGATCACTAGGGGTTACGCCGTGTTTCACATCCCCTACAATAGCTAGCCAGCTTGGTCACTTCTTGACATATCGACATATTAAATATTTCATCGCTTCTGACTTCCAATTTCTCTGAGTTGTTACGTTTCGATTACCTAATGTGCCATTGGTTAAGGCGTTGACAATATTGGTAGTAATGACGACGTCTAATTCTTTTTCATATCCGATCCTGCTTGTTGAGCTGCCATTGCTGATTGTGAAGCAGCCATATTTTCTTAGTCACAAAGTCTAGCCTGATGAGGGTCTAATCGAAAACAATATTGTTCGTTTATATATGGCCCATGGGTGAACTCAAGGAAGCTTTAAGAAGCCAGAAAGTGCCGAAGATATTTCATCCCATTATCTTTTGGAAAAACATTCTAGAATCTTTATGTGTAGCTTCCCTAGTTGACAAATGCTAAAAACCACTGTATGAGGATAGGATGACTATGTCAATGGCTTCGTTTTTACTAAAAGCTATAAATACCTGAGAGTTTGTAACATATTTGACACTGCTTGGAATAATATTCCTCTACACACATCTTCTGTCATCTCATTTGCTACCTAGGGGATCCTAGTGTTTGAGTTCCGAACTAGTGCGCGGTATATTAAGAATCTAAGCTCTAGATATGACAAACTACTTATGAAGTTTTGTTACAGCCAGTATTGTGTTGTGATTTGTTGGCAATGTATTGCATTTTGTTTGTGCATTCTGACCAATACTTTTGGCTTTTCGTTGCAAAATTATTTGATCGAATTTAGCTAATAATATCTTGGTGGCCTGTTGATCTGACTCCGATTTGAATTAACGGATCTATATAACTAACGTCATATACTACTTATGTCGACATAAGTAGCACACACCACAATACCACCACATAGAAACAGCAAAGGTTATTAAGTGAATAATTGACAAAGTCAGAATTTAACTTAAGAAGAGTAAATAAGTTGTTCTACCAGGAAGCTAGAATAACTCATATAAACTTCACATGGTACCGGACACTACGGAGCTTAACTGTAGAAAGTTGCGCATCAATTTGAAAAAATTGTCTGGTTACAAAATAAATCAAGAAGTATATGGTCAACGTTTATAATAAGTAGTGAAAAGACGTATTATATCTCATGTAGCAGAATGAAACGTGAAGGGTCAATATATGATAGGAAAGTGTGTAGAATTATGACTTCGTTCAGCATTAGTACATTTATTTTTGCTATTACAGAAATAGACCCAATCACAAAGTTATACATCTGTCACGTGATTACCTAATTTATTAAATCCTACGTGGAAGTCACATCGCCGACAATACTGACTCGTCCTATCATCCAGTTAGCAACATAATGTTCAGCACTTCTTAATAAAGATTTAGGCTGGGGATATAATAACATATTTGGTATGGAAAGAGATAGGCTACACAATGACCATGCCTGCCATTGAGATTCTGTGTTCCCGCACTCACCAATTTTAACTTTTTTTAAGTTCGCCTGTCGAATGCAAGTATCTCAACAATTATATGTTCAGCTTCAAAGACAGTGTGGTTGGGAACCGATATCACTACAAGTATCATATTTATGATGGATTTGCTATTCTATTTAGATAATCCATGACATGCTAATTCAGTCTCTTGTATTGTAACCAAGTGACTGGGATTTGATGGAGAAAATAAGGATGATAAAATGTTATACATGACAAAAGATATAGTTATTAACGTTTGTTAAAACTTTACTCACTTCTGATTCACCTTCGTTTTTACTAAATAGCCTTACTGATCCTAACTTCTACTATCTCTGCATCATTTGATCCTATTATGCCTTACTAAACATCACAACTCCTTGTTCTTTATCATTGTATTCTTCGATCTGAGGACATTTTGGGTCAAATTTCATTCTTGTAATCAGAGCAAGTATGAGTTTTATCTAGACATTTACCATACCTTTTTCTGTTCTACATAAGATTGCTGAGAACTTTTGAGAGTTTGATTCAGAATGCGTTGTTCCCTTGTTTTGCTTTTCTTTCGGTATCACATTCGTAGAAAATCGCCATAGAACTTATTCTTACGCCCAGAACAAACTTGAAACAGAACTTGCATACGTGTTTTTCAAAACTAATGATCTGTATATCGTTTATGAGTATGACAGTGATTTGGAAGTGTTAAGTGTATTCCATAAACAGTTTACATCTCATTTGGTACAAATAACCTTGATGCCATCCACTCATTGCTTATACATGTGCACATTTTCAACTGAGATTTCGGCCACATTTTAAAAGTATGATGCAAGCGCGCCAACCAGCAGTAGTCCTAAAAGTTTACTCATTGCCGACCCTCCGAAATCTCAAAGGTATTCACCATCAAATGTGAACTGCACTCTGTTGTCGTATAATGGTAATTACATAAGAAATAAGAAAAAAAGATTATTCAAGAAAAATATTTTTGCATAGAATATCAGTATTTTAAAAAAATACTGGGCGTGCAAAAAATTCACAAAAAAAGAACAGATTATTATTCTTCACAAATATCATATGGGTGAATGAGTGTTGTGAAGAAACCAATCCGATTTGCATTAGAACTGCAATAATACACAAGTTTCAGTAGTGTTGGCATTATGTTTGCTATATTTGAAAAGGAGAAAAAAGAAAACAATGACAATAGAATAATGACAACATGTCAGGTTATTTGTAACGACCGAACTGCCAGTATTCGGTTTGAACGCAGCACTGACGAACCAAAATGTATTCGAATAGGCCAGATTACGTTCTTCTGTATAGCTTACCAAAAGTTTTTGAGACACTCGTATTGAATCATATCGAAACACAAACTCTGTGCTCAATTTAAACGCTTCTAATTAAGGAAACAGAGCAAATTATATCAGAAATACAAAGCATCTTGAGCGGCACAGACTGTGCTTTACAGTCAGAAGTTTCTCCAACGTAAAGTAGCGCGCCGAGAATCAATAAAAATATTCTCAACAAAATGGGATCAAATATCTATCTGCAGGGATTACAGCGACCCTCCCAAGCAGACCGCCAAAACGTTAACAGTCATACATTGAATTACGCGGTGACCTTGAGCTTAGTCAAACACGAGCTTACTGTCAATAGTCCGGCAATATGCAATAGAAAAGTAGGTAACAAAAGATAAGTCTTCAATCAAAGTCACTTGACAAGAGCTCAGGCCAGGAAGATTGAGGAACGAAAGTTGTGGTTAAACGAGATGTGAACAAAGGCTAAAATACACGACAGTGAGAAGAAAAAAATAAATGACAGGACTGTTCAACAAAAAAGCTGCGGAGGAATTTTCATTGTTCTCTTTCCGTTACATTATATATAATTGAGAAGAATATTGAATCGACTTCATTATTATTATTCACAAACATCTTATGGGTACATAAGTGTTGTAAACAAACCATTTCGGGTTTCATCTGAAATGCAATAATACACAAGTTTCAATTATGTTAGCATTATATTTGCCATATTTAAAAAAGAGAGTAATAACAATAATAAATAATAATAAATCAGGTTCTGTGTAGTTTAGAAGAATATTGAATTATGTTTAAAGGATGAAAGGAAGAAAACATGAGAATAGAAATAAAGGAGACGTGAAATACGCGAATAGTTTAATAGGCTTGTTTGTGAGCTCGGAACAAGAATAAACGACTATGTATAAATCGTCAACTTAGTGACAAAAACAAAACAGAAAATAACTAAAAAACTAATTATTTCCGTAAGATATGACGTTTGGATAATTGGCTGTGAAGTCGTAGTTTGAAGTGATGCTATGAACGTCTCAATTAAGTGAAAAGGATAATGAAATATCAATATGTATGAGTCATATATACATAGTGAAGATAGAACGAGTCTGAGAAGTTAATTTAAATGTAACACAGTTTATTGTCGTAGTCACAAACTTCGCAATCTTAAGAATAATATTTATTTACAAAGAAAGAAGGAGATAGAAAAGAAATGAACATCTAGTGAGAGCGTTAAGCCACGGTAATAATAATTGTGTAATGAATATGGACCTCTGAAATAAACCAAAAATTTTAAAAAAATATAAAAAAATAAAATGAGATAAAAAATCATTCAGTGCATTCAGATAAATACATGTCGATTGATGTAATAATAATAATAGTATACAGAGTGAAACCGGATATTAGTATAAACATTTGTGCAATAATCATTAAAAATGATGCATGAAAGTCACAATTAATTGCAAAGGATAATCAAATATAAATTTCTGTGTGCCATATATATGTGGTGATAATGAAATAAATCTGAAAAGTTAATCTATTTAAGTTCACCGTAAGATGAAGGAAAGGGAGAAAATAACAGGGAATAGAAATAAAGGAGACGTGAAATACCTCATTTCCACTCAAAAGTATCTTTCATGTAATGCCGAAATAAGTGCCCTCAAAAAGGGTGCAGTAGTTTCGTTAACTATTTATTAAATAGATGTATGAGTGACCAACGTGTTGATGACACTAAACGTAGACGACTGTTAA